ACAGACTAGCGTTTCCACGAGAAAGAGCTAAGCATTCCCATACCTGCACGAGTTACACATGGGCCTTTAGCAGGGAAGATTGAGACAAGAGTCCGAGCCTATTACGCTGAATAGTACATCAGCTTTGTTCAGTACAAATAAAAAAAGAAAGAAGACTAAGGCAAAGCCTCGGTCTCGCGCGATAGTTACTACACCCGTCTTGTTCAGTATAATAAAATAAAATATGTGACACAGGCTAGCCTTTTAATATATAATTTTTATTTCTTATTGATATTCCGATTTGCAAATAAAATAATTTCAAAAAGTGAGATGTTTCTACTCGTAAATCTCATTTGTAATCAAATTGGGAACGAAGGGAGTATTATTCAAGTGGGGCGAAGTGAGTATGAAAAGATTAATTAATTAAGGACATCCTACTAAAAAAAGAAAATATGAGATTATAATATTCTCTTATATACAAAATTAAATTTTATTCACTTTTTTTTTTTATCTATTTTGTTATTCATATTTTATTTTATAAAATTTTAGATGTAACTTTTTAGTATGTCAATTTTATTTTTTAACTCCACCAGTTTTATTTTTGTAAATTGTAATGAAATTAACACCACTGAACCATCATAAACCGATAATAGAGTCAATAGATCCATAAATATATAATGTATTTTCTTGAAATAATTTCTTACTAACAAAAAATAGAAAGTAATCTATTTTTTTATTTTTAGTAATACAAAAGAAATAATTTCCTATGATAAAATAGTTTTTTTAATTATAGATCTACTAATCTATTTTTTTATTTTTAGTAATACAAAAGAAAAGAATCACTTTTTAAATCAATCTGAGAGGAGAGCGAGATAGAGAAAATTATATTAACGTGTCAAAGAAAAACCATATTTTTCACAGGCAATTACATCCAATGTGTATGACACAGGTTAAAATACTACTGATTTAAACAATATTACTCCGGAGTCCGTCCATTACGAATTAAATTGCTCCTTTCCAATTCAATATCAATTCAATTCATATATGATTAGAGTTAATTCCCAAAATCTTATTTAATAACTATGTGTTTTCTCAAATTAGTCCTCAGGATAAACTAATTACCGAGATGATACTCGCTAACTGAATATAATGCTAGTTTAGTCCCCCAACTAACGATCGTCAAAACGACATAAAACTTATACTAAGTTTCTTAATTGATCTTCTATAATTAGATATGTTTTCGAATTATCTATTTCTCATGTAAAAACTTATTTAATATGAAAAATTGAAGCAAAATTTTTCCCTTAGTAATTGATTTATTGTGTTTGAGCGAAACGAGGAAACTATTTTTTATAAGTTTTTATTTCGAAAGAAGAGAATATTGGATGCGCTATATTAAGTACTCCTATACACACAATCAAACTTTAATTATTTTATTTATCTATTTTCGTTAGTTATTTAATAGAATAATATAGTATAGTATTGTCACTCCTTATTTTGTAGAATTTTTTATGTAGTTTTAAAATATATAAATTTCATTTTATTTTAAATTTGAGACAGAGGGAGTAGTTTCAATTTTCAATAACTTTTATTAACGGTGCATTTTTATTGATCGTTGGATAAAATAAAAGAGTTTGAGCACTTAATTTGTAGAGTTTTCAATATAATTTTTGAATAAGTTATTTTTATTTATCTGCTAATTTGGAAATAAAATTCTTTAAAAAGAAATAGCATCTCACACGTAGTTTGAAAAAATAATTTTTTGAAGAAGTGAGAATATCACGATTTTCATCTTTAAAATATTGTTAGATTAAATTTTCATTCTTTTCATTTTTGCATTTAGGATGGACCCTAATGAACTAGGCCCGCCATATTATAATCCATTACAAACGGCCTGTTAACACTCCGTGAATTATATGGTTGATCCATCATTTATGTAATTGTACTCCCTCCGTCACATGAAACATGAGACTTTTGCTTTTTATGGGGGATTTAAGGGGACTGTATTTTGGTATTGAATTTCCAAAAATGTCCTTTGATGTGATGGGTAAAAGTATGATTTGATGGATAGATTATTAGTAAAAAGGTATGATGTGATAGTTAGGGTATGAAAAAGTAAGGGGTAAAAGTGACTTTTTAATAGAAATGAGAAGTGTTTTGTGGGACGGATAAAAAAAGAAAGGAGAAAGGTTTCATGGGACGGAGGGAGTATTTTTTTTTCTCTTTATTATTACGGCATTACAATATCTAATGTTTTTAAAAAAAAATTATGTNCCCTCCGTCACATGAAACATGAGACTTTTGCTTTTTATGGGGGATTTAAGGGGACTGTATTTTGGTATTGAATTTCCAAAAATGTCCTTTGATGTGATGGGTAAAAGTATGATTTGATGGATAGATTATTAGTAAAAAGGTATGATGTGATAGTTAGGGTATGAAAAAGTAAGGGGTAAAAGTGACTTTTTAATAGAAATGAGAAGTGTTTTGTGGGACGGATAAAAAAAGAAAGGAGAAAGGTTTCATGGGACGGAGGGAGTATTTTTTTTTCTCTTTATTATTACGGCATTA